CATGAAAATGCTGAAAATCACCATGGGGCCTCCAGGGACTCCTTTTCACTGCGGAGCTTCTCCTTTGCCGATTCGCCCTGCTCCAGACGGGCGCCCACCTCCTGGAGGTGAAATGCTGGATTTTCACCATGGAAAAATGGGATGTTCAGCTGCAAAAATAGGGAGTTCAATGGATTTCAATGGATTTCAGATACTTTAACCATCTAGAATTAGGATATATTGAGATCTAAGCAGCACAAAAAAATGGGATCCAACCAGAAATAGGGAGTCTAACCAGCAAAACTGTGGATCCAAGTGCCAAAAATCATGATTGAAGCAGCAGGGAAAAACGAGGAATTAACCAGCAAAACACAACGGTGGCATATAGGAACATAATGAACATATCATGGAGATATACCCAATGGCCATTTGAAAAGGGGATATCTTTTAAAAGTGGCGTTATAAATCCAACCATGATATATGACAACAATATCTTCATAATCATGGGTATACCAGTACACCCCAATAAATGGACATCTTGATGAGAAAAGATGGGAGAAAAAAACAAATGATGATATAATCGGCGGACTGCATAGAGTTTCCCAACCATTTCAGACAAATCCAAAGAATTTTGGGAATTCTATAATTAGTTGGTTCTAATTATATTGGTTGGTTCTATAAAATCCATGATTCTTTTCAGACAACCAATTCTGAAGAAGTCGGGGTCCCCATGGGTCACTCTCATGACAAGCAGTTCACCGCCCATGTTTGGCTCATGGAGATGCTTCCGTGCTGAGCCGCGGCTTGGATCATGCTAAGAATCTGAATTCGAGTGGGTTTGTCACGTCTGAAAATATGATACCTCAAAATCCAATGGTTATATATTATATATCATGATGTATACTCTAATATAATCTATATTATATATATATATACATTACTTATATGGCAAACTCTGGATTTTCTCTTGGCTCATGGGTCATCATCACACCCAGCTGTGTCCTCAATGTTCTTTGACAGATTCCTCGGGCCCGGCGCAAACCCGATTCCCCTGAAAGGGTGGCCACCAATATTGGTGGCTGTACCATTTGATGGGTGAACTATGGTCATCTCATCAAGCTCTACGCTATGACAATTTCATGGGTGGTTAAACCCCTCACTTGCTGCTGGTTCAAACTTGTTTTTGCATATGTTTGTTGGTAAAAAAATCCAACTTTTGATAGTATCATTTTTTCTTCCTTACGTGTCTTTATTTTGTTTCAACACACAGTGTGTTTTTGTCTGAAAATACTGTAGCGCACAGCTTCATGGTGAATCACCATATGTTCCATTGGACTTGCTACAGTATCTCATGGAAATATCTCCCGTTTTCTGACCCATATATCATATCATCAAGTTTGTGACATCTATCCCATTCAGTAAATCCATGTCAACCCCCATCAATATCCCATTGAATCCAATGTTCAATGGTTATTTCAACAATGTGAAATCATATTAAATACATCTTTTTTCCATGGTGAAATCTCAATTGTTCATGGTCAAATCCCAAATGTTTCTTTCTGAATCACCATACTATGTCCACATGAACTCCCAGAAAGAGCCCCGGTTTTTTTCCATGGTGAAATTTCGATCAAATCCCTATTTTCTTGGGTTTTTCCCATGTTTTCCTAGGTTTTCTGATGGTTTCCCCATGTTTTTCGGTGAAGTAAAAATGGCGAGTGGCTGGAGCTCCTGCGCTTGCACGTCCAGCACCTCGGCACGTTGCTGCTGCTGCGGCCTCGGCGGCGAAGTGGCCGAAAATGCTGGGATTATAATATGGATCCCATCTATTATAGTACCCATGTTAAGTGGATCACCTTAATAATATTATTATAGTACCTCCTATTAGTGGATCACTATATTACCTCCCTAGTTACCCATGGGTACTATATTAGTGGATCACCCTAGTAATAGTCTAGTATTAATCCCATGTTAAGTGGATCACCCATAGGGTACTATGGTAGTAGTCTGATATTATGATCCCATCTATTATGATCGGATCTATTATTAAGTGGAGTCATAATTCCATGTTTATTGGTTTAATAATAGATTCTAATAGATCTTAATATATGAAGTAGTCATCCATGGGCTTCATAATCCATATATATATATATATAATTCAGAAGGTGGAAACAACATTTTGGAAATGGCATGGAATATATATATATATTATGTACACATACATATTTCTAGATTTAATGGGTGATGGGTTCTAAATGGATGAGATTCCACAATGCTTAGTACATAATGTGTGATATTTTTGGATTGTGCAATTGGCAGGCTATGAAAAGATGAATCTCCCACTGTTTGCTGGGCAAATCCCCAAATTCGTTGGTGATCCCACGATGTTAATGTGGTGTGTCAATAGTGGATGCCACAACATGGCTGTTTATGGAAAATGATTGTTACCCTCTGGTAATGTAAAGTTGATTTACAGTTGATTTACCTTTTAACGTGGTGATTTTCCATAGTTATGTTAGCTTATCAGAGGGTAACCAATGGATCTAGGGCTACGTTATATTTTCAGACAAAGCATCTTTCGCCAAGGGACTCGCTGGCCGCCTGTTCCGCCTCTTTCTGGGCTACCTGCAAGCATATGACTGACTATGCAGTATTATGTTACTAGGATTCTACATTTATTATCTGGTTGGGAATTGTTATGCATGTGTATATATATATATATGACATTTATATAATATAATATGATATAGTATGTGTATACTGTGTATATATGTAGATACAATATGTATTATTGCTTAGTAATCTTAATATTGGTAATAGTCATTAATTAATGGATATTAATGGTATATAATTTATAATCACTATCCCAGCAGATCTACCGAATGGATCCGAATGGCGGATTGATGAAACCCTGAATGAGCAATACTTAAGAATACAAAAAATCGCCTTCAGCAAATCCAATTCCGGCTGAACATGAACGGAACCGGCATCTGACTTTAATCTTATTGCCAACAGATTACTTCTAAATCAACTGGTTAATCATCATTTTCCCCATGCAAACAGCAATTTCAGGGGCATAATTATATAATCCATTTTCAGACACATCAATAAATGGGACCCCTATGGGACCATCTTTCCCGGAGAGGAAAGGATCTGACTTCTGACCAGCGCCGCACTTTGAAGCAGATTTCTCTCACGGTTTTGCATCGATGAAGTCTGCTGCTTCAAGAGAACATAGCTCCTTGGCGCCTGTACAACATATTTTCCAACTGGGCATTTCCTTCCCTGCAAATGCGATAGGAATCCTGCATAATCCTGCAACATGTTCTTTCTTTCTTCCCTGATGTTTCACATATCTTCAATGGGTTTCATCCTGGGCCGTGAAGGATTCCCACTACCATCCACAGGTTGGAGAGGATTAAACATGCCGCCAGTCAACAGCTGGATCCACAGCGCTTTTTTGTCGCCCAATACACCTATTTTCAGATATTTTCAGACTAACCCAAATGATCCACCTGGGCAAATTCATGATTCCCAAAACCTAGAATAACCAATGATGATTAATTCCCAATTAATGATGGTTAATGATGGTAATTCCCAAATTAATGATGGTTTGGGGGATTCTACCCTCCAGTAACCGGTAACTTTGCAGGTCGTACTGAGGTCGGTCTCTATGCCCAGAACGATCCACAGGATTCGGGGACAGCAGATGCCGTATTCAAAGATTCCTGCTTGGTCGATAAATGGTATAGTATACCCTCTGGTAATTTAACATAGCCATGGAAAATCACCATTTTTTATAGGTAAACCATCTATAAATGGGCCATTTTCCATAGTTATGTTAAATAACCAGAGGGTAATAGTATAAGTAGGCTTGATCCACTTCTAACTGCGCTTATAACTGAGCTTATACTAAGGGGATGATATTCTGTTTCTAGCAATGATGAAAGGCGAATGCCACATGAGCCTAAAGTGAAAAACTGCCCCTGGATTGTGAACCGCAGCTCTAAAGCTCACCAAACTGGAAATCCGAACAGTCTGAAAATGAGTCACAGGAAGTTTGTTTACCTTTCCTACTAATGTTACATACAGCAATAGTAAACCCTTCCCAATTGTACCACAAATCGTCCATGGTATCAACTATCAAAATTAGGTGGTGTATTGTTGCTTTACCATGCTTTACCAACATTATCATTGCAACTTGATCCCCAGAAAATCTGTGTCATGAGTCATAACCCAACTCCTCACGATATTCTCCTGGAGAAAAGCATAAACCAGCAGTCGTGACTGGCCGTCGACGAACTCTTGTCATCGCACCATGTCATTAGATCGGAAGAAAAAAAAGTCCCGAAGAAATCGGAAATTGACGCGGAAACTCGTTGAGTCATGCAGTTTTTTTCTGTTTTGCTGATGGCACAATATGGCACAAAAGGACAGCTGATCTGGCCAGCATGAATCGCATGAATCGCATGAAACTGTCCCATTCTGGCCAAGGGTAGTTGAAACATGTTGAACCACGTTGGAACATGTTGGAATTGTTGAATTGCACATCAGGACGTATGTAGAACATGAGAAACCAGACGAGATTAAATGAGCCTCACCACAATGCAAAAATTGTCTTTTAAACAAAAACAAACAACTTTCTTGGGAACCATTTCTTCGGTCCGGAGGCTACAGAAGTCGTGGGATGCTGGAAACTGTACACAAGCCAGCACATCATTCTGTACACGACAAATGTGGGTGCCCAAAATCAGATCCATAAAACAGGAGTGAGCAATTAAACTTTGGGCATTGCATGGTATTGCTCAAAGTTTAAGGCTGTGAAACATGCAAATTATTGCAGATCGGTCTTTGATTTAAAGGAAGGATTTCCGTTATCATCCAATAATTTCAATATCTGTTTGGCCACAAAAATTGTAATGCAACAAAAAGAATCCTTAAGAAGGTGATATCGGTTCCGAAAAGTATGACTTGTTTTTGGCAGAGTTCATAGTAGTTTCGTGCCAAATTTCAGGGGTCGTCCAGCGCTTACTTCTTACCCCAGGATGACCAGTCAAGTGGATTCTTGGATTCTGGGCGGCCTCCACTTGCTTCAACTCTTTCCCGTCCCGTGGGCTTGGGCCGGTGCTTTCCCAAAACATGGGAAGAGCGCACTCGTTTTGTTTACCACATGACCACAGGTTTCGGCCACTTGTTGGCCTCATGACCTGTGTTTTTTTTGGTCACAGGGATCACCAGTACACTCTCTGCACCTCATAGTCCTTGGCATCCAAGGCCATTTGCCTTTGGATCGGTGAGAGCCTTCCCAGGAAGTAGCAGAAGGTTGCCACCTGAGGTTGGCAAAACCACCATGAAAACAGGGTGAGATCATGGAAATGGAGGACAAACAAGGGCTTCTGTATGGGAAAATTATCATTTGAGGATATGAATTTTAAAATGGGAGAACCCAAAAATCATCCAAGGGCTTGGTCATATTGAATGGGGAAACCAATGGCTTTTGGGGTACCCCCATTACGCGTATCTATGGTACCCCATTATCAAAAAGTTGGGGCTGCCTGTTGTCTTTCCATGTTTGAAACACCTTCTTATTGCGGAGAATGTTGATCCCACCAGTAATACTAATGATGGGAATTTCTTACTATTAGCTATATCTGTACCTTGTCCCTAATCTGAGTGGGTGACGATCCCCGCTTCAACAACGGCGCTTCAACCCCAGCTTTCGACATAGCATGTGTCTTGGGTGTGGGAGGAGATGTTCATATTAGAAGAGTTTCGTAAAATGGGATACCCCTAAATCATCCAATCCCATGTGCTCCATGTATGGAATATTTACCAACATTTGCCTCATAAATGACCCAAATGTGGAGCATATGGGAATAGTTTTTAGATAATTTAGTATTCAATCCCATGGGTTAGGGTACCCCATTTCTGGGAATCACCCCATAGCTTGCCTCCGCAAAGGGATGCACTGGGATGTTTGATAGAGGATCTAACCACCAAAGATACAACCAACCAAAACGGCGATATGGTGTGACAATGGGATATCTGTGAATGTATATAATGTATTATATATATATATATATATCTTACATATCTTATATAACCAACAACATAATAAACATGATATGTCTTGGGTTTGACACGGTTTGTCCAGACATGTTTTTTCTTGTTGCTACGTCCCCCACGGTTTCAATGGGGCACATGATTCTCTACACCACAGGCTGGGCTCAGATATGGCCCATGGAAACCGTGAAGCCAGGACCTAGGAGACCTAGGAGACCTAACCTTTTTTGATTTCATGACATGAGGCCAGTTGTTTACCCCGATCCAGGAGCTTAAGGGAATCTCTTTTTTTGGCTGGGGATTTGGATTCCCTGAGTCCCTTCATCTACACATATCTTCCAAGAATCCCCTTCAGAACTTCCCACACTTCACTTACAGCCCACAGGCTTTCAAAAAAACAAGAACCATACATATACGAGCATCCCCAGCATACCCGAAGAAGCATCGTCCCCACAACAAGAACAAGGGGCGATCTTGGTGATCCAAATCTGCAAGAACACGAAGAGAATCGCCCACCTCACCGGCGTCGAGTCGACTCGAGTCGACCAGGGGGAATCCATTTTTTTCGGCAGTGCTTACTGTAACATGGAACCGCCATGTCATTACTGTAACCAAGGGATGTTTGTTGTCATAGGAAACGTCATGCAGAACATGAAGCAAGAAATACTGTACTCAACAGCCAGATCTGGTGCACAATGCCGACAAGAATGAACCATTTTCAGAAACCAGCAAGAATGATGATTTATTTTTCATCCAATAATTACGAGGATATCACCACCAAAATGTATAAGTATATTTATATGTTTCTCCATTTATGCTTAATCGTGCGCATGAAACCCACCAAACCAAGACCTATGCAGAAAATGAAGAGTCGCTGGTGGTTTCAACACATCCCAAGAATAATTATTGCAGTTCGTCATTCCAGCTAGGACGGGACATGAACGGATTCGAAACCAGCAACCAGAAGCAAATTTTAGATGGTATCGACCCAGCTTTGCTTCTGTTTCCTTTTGACTCTCATTCTGCTAGACAATCTTAAAATGGCATTCAAGCACAGACTCTCCATCCGGCCTCTCAAAGCGACAAAGGATGTTGCTACCAACAACATCCAACAACCATGAGGATTTCCAATTGAGGTTCATTGGCTGTTGCGCGTGTTTTTTTCCGGAATCCCACAGTGCCAAGCGACAAGAAGAAACCGAAAATCGCGGAGTAGAGTTGGATGCACGTCTTTACAATGCAGAAAGCCAAGTAGACTCCAACCTCAGTGAAATCTTTGTCACTTGGGGATGCTCTATGCCTGGAACTGTGATATTTCAGGCCATTGTTAATCGCTCTGTTCCTTTAACCATCTTTGGTTTATTTGGATATGGGTCAAAATCACAAAGCCGTTGATCCCAGTTGGTTTGTCCGAAGTGTTTGCCTTTACATACATGCATTCAACCATCGAATGCTTGCAAGTAATATAAGATATGTACCTGTATATATATATATATATTATTATACATACATACATATATATATATATGGAGGTTTCCTGAAATGGGGGTACCCCCAAATCATCCATTTTAATAGGATGTTCTCTTATAAATTAAGAATTATCCATTTTGGGTACCCCGATTTATGAAAACCCCTATATATAAATGATATATAAATAATGATATAGTGGGTACCCCAGCAACCCAACCGCTTCATCATCATCTTCCGTGTTGATCAATGGCCACTTGGGTGGAGGTCCCCCAAAATTAGTGCATCCCTTTTTTCACACAGATCTTTTGTGATGTAGCAGTACACCCTTTTACAACTAAAACAAATATTATGTATATATGTATGTGTACGTGTATATATATATATATACATATATATATATATACATCATCCTCCATTTACCCGATCAGTATCAACAAGTATCTGGTTTATATATTGGTTTCCGCTGTATAATATATGTATGAAATTGATTGAAATTGTATGAACATTGACCTTAATAAAACCTATATCACCCCCGAACGGTAGGTGCCTCACTTGCGCACACAAAATTGACTCAGCTGCGCACACAGGATTCTGACTCACTTGTACACACAAAATTGACTCAGTTGTAGACACACAGCCTTGGGGGGGTGGGGTGGGGCTAGTTGACTTCATTATAGGGACACAACCGCTACTAGTTAACTTCATTATAGGGACACAACCGCTACTCCACTTCCTTCGATTAGAATATAATTAGAATATTATATAACCCCTAAGTTGCTAGGTTAAATATATTGGCTACCAGGCCTTAAGCCTGGTCACCACTCGCCCGAGGCCCGAACCCCACTAGCCCGCCGAGGCGCCAGTTCGCGTCTCAACCAGGAGGCGCCCAGGACGCCGCAGAGGGGGCCCAAAAGAAAGACCAGGAAAAGGAGCTGCCACCTCAGGTGATGGGTTGAAACAGCAGAAATGCTGAATTTCCGCCACAAAAATCATGGCAAAACCACAACAATGGTGGGTTTCAGCACCCAAAATTGTGAGTTAAGCATCAGAAAATGGGGATTACCTGAGGATCCCTCAAAAACACACAGAAAACGGTGATTCAACCCGCAACGTTTCGGACCTTTGTGGGCGCGCGCCGACATGCTAACTTTTTATTCATATCTTCAGCTGTAGGGGAAGATAAATAACTTTGCGGATCTTTCCAAAATGGGAAAGAATCTAAATCATGCCAATACTGCTGCAAGAAACCCATGCACTGCTAGACGCTCGAGGCGGTGATCGCTCTCGGTCAACAGGCTCAGATATGTCGAGTCCCCTAAAGGAATAAAGATAGAAGCATTAAATGCATACATATACATCAAGGAACAATATCAGAACAAAAACAACGGATGGCACATGGAAGTAAATATTTCAACTGACAAGTTAATGGTGGTCATCACGATTTTGTATCCTTCAACATTAGCAATATATTTGAAAGTTTGATCTCTTTTCACATCTCTGTTTTTGCTGCTACTCTGCAAGGTCAACACAAAAGGGCAGCAGCATAAAAACAACTCGACTCAAACACCATGATCAAATTCATGAAGAGAATTTCTTATACCGTAACATCACGCGTGTGTGCAAGTGCAAGACAAGATCTTACAACGTAACATCACGCGTGTGTGCAAGTGCAAGAGAAGATCTTACAACGTAACATCACGCGTGTGTGCAAGTGCAAGAGAAGATCTTACAACGTAACATCACGCGTGTGTGCAAGTGCAAGAGAAGATCTTACAACGTAACATCACGCGTGTGTGCAAGTGCAAGAGAAGATCTTACAACGTAACATCACGCGTGTGTGCAAGTGCAAGAGAAGATCTTACAACGTAACATCACGTGTGTGTGCAAGTGCAAGAGAAGATCTTACAACGTAACATCACGTGTGTGTGCAAGTGCAAGAGAAGATCTTACAACGTAACATCACGCGTGTGTGCGTGTGCCCCCCCCCACCCCCCCCACCCCCCCTGTTCCCCACCCCAAAAATAATAACATGTCATGCGGGCACAACTTCTAACTGACGGGCACAACTTCTAACTGACGGGCACAACTTCAACGCAGCACCACGAAACACTGCCCACAGTGAGCGAAATGAAGATAAACGCGCCCTGACAGGCAGTTTTACGCTCTCCCCCGTGCGCGCCGACAGGGTTCCGGAAGGACCAACAAAGAAATGTGATTTAACCTCAACCACGCAAAAGTGGTGATTTACAGATTTAAAATAACTGAAATTGGGAATCAACCAGCAAGAGACTAGGATCAGGAAAATTCTAGGGTTTCACCAACAGGTGGAGAATTGTATAACCACAATGGGGGGGGAGATCACAATTCCAATTGTGGTTATACAATAACAATCCAATCAATCATTATATCCAATCAAATATCAAACAAAGACTAGGATTATCAATCAAACAATAATAAATAATATCAATCAAATATCCAATCAATAATTATCCAACAAAGACTAGGATTCGACAAGGGACGCTTTCCTTGGATGGACGACTCTGACCAGGAAAAGTCATCGCATATCACCCAGCGTTGGGGATTCAAACCCCCACAGGAGAGGTGTTCGACCTATCGACGAGGGGATTTCAACCAAGAGGTTTATAAACTCTATTATATAACATCTACTAACTCAAGTTATATCAACATACATCAACCACAAAGAGCCAACTATAGTTTTATCAACAGTATAAATCCAACCGAACATTGACTAAACTATAATATATGGTTATACTATTGCCAATTCCATTACATATAATGTATAGTTATACCATTATATAATATCTATAACTCAACAGTATAGTCACTAGTAGTTGTATCTTCCTGTTCCAGGCTATGAACATCACCTTCTTGCAGACCCAAGTCGTACACGTTTGATCAACCAACATTTTGGTATGTTTAATGGCTCATTTGAGCAATGCCCAGATACCAATGAGTAGATAAAACGAAACAGGGATTACACTACCGACTTTTCGTAGGTGGAATTACCCCTGGTAATCAAACATAATACTGTGAATGGAAGAAATCCAGCACCAGTTGATAGATGGTTTAGCCGTTTAGCCCATTATTTATAGGGTTTCAACCATTCAAGGTGGTGCAGGAGTTCGCAGCCATCCACAGTAGCAATGGAAAATCCATCATTTGGGTATTTCCCAGCCGCGTTTGATTCCCGAGTAGACCCATGAAGTGGGAAGCTATATAAACCAACCAATCTCATGGTATCATGATACCATTTCTTTAACATGTTTCTAAATAGTAGATTCCCCCAACTAGGTGCATGAATTAAGCACCATGGGAAAACAATGGAAAATAGGGGAAAATAAGGAACTTGTTTTCACCACATCCATGTTTTTCATCCTATCAAAGTTGCTCCTACCTCTGGTTATATTCCCTTTGTCCTCTTTGTGTCTTCTGTTCCAGTTTTCCCGTTAAAAGCAATTTTCTCCAAAAAGTGAAAAACATCTCAAATTGTTTTATCTACATATCCCATGATATTCCCCAACATAGTCCCTTTTTTTTCGAAAGACATGTTGGTGAATCCCGCATTAATCCTCGAGTCACTGGGAGTCAACCCCCCCCCCCCCGCCAGGTGGGTCGATATATATAAACCCAAATGAGCGGCCACTAAACCCCTCATAAATTTGCTTCACAAATTTGCTCTATAATTCGTGGGGCTTTTGGCAGCTGCTCAAACATTTTGGGCTAGCCATTTGATATGATATGGTATGATATGATATGATATGATATGATATGTATATATTATATATATATGGTTCATATAATATACATAGCCACATAGATCACATAGCCATATTTTGGATTCATCAAGAGCCACTGGCTCTATTTTTGGTTGAATCCCCATGCAGCAAGTTCCACCGAGTTCCAGCGAGGCACCAATTCCACACCAAGCCCGTGGCATAGGCCGCCACCACGTTGAGCACCGTGAAGGCTATGTCCTACCCCGTGCCGCAACGAAGCCATGGGCATGGGGAAGACGCAGCCAACCACGGGCGATATCTATGGGAAACATCTGGGATATCTATGGGGAGATCTGGGAGATTTATGGGAGTGGTTTGATTTTGCTGGGAAAACCTACAAAGCTGCAGGATTTTACCCCAAATATTGGGGCGTCCTGTAAATGATCCCTTCAACCAATTCTGGATTAAAGCGATAAAAAGGTGAATTTCATCAGCAGGGGCTGGGATCTAACCAAGAAGTTATGATTCCCCAAAGACTAGCTAAACTTTTGTGAGCTGATTAACTTACTGTAGTTACATATGTTTGGCATGATTCCCCAAATACTAGCCATCATCATGAATCTCCCATGAACTTTGCAAGAACTCCGATCTCCAGCACTGCGAAGCAGGTCACTGCTGTGCGATAGCTCAAGACCACCTACGTGGGGCGGGGCGTTTTGCATCGACAGGGGCACCATTTTTCGGTCAACAAAAATATGGGAATTTGACCAACAAACATGGAGATTTAACCAACAAATTTGGTAGCTTTACGAACACAAAAATTCGGATTTAAACAACACCAATTTGTCTATTCAACCTGCAAGGTGTAATTGATCAACAGAAATAGGATGTTTCACCAATAAAAATATGAGTTGTGGCCTAGTCCGCGAAATGGGATAAGGACCACACGTCTTGAGGATACGACCATATACAACCAAATAATTGAAGCATACAAGTGACCTAGAACCAACAAACAGGTGTGACTTCAACAGTGGATTAGATTGGGGGGGTACTGACCAATTGCAATTTGCAATATAACAAATCCCAACAAAGAGGTGTCGACCTCCAATCAGCGAAAAATAGTGAATATGACCAATCTTGTGAATCCATTGGCACCCCATCTTCGAGCCATGCACAAATACCTTGAACATAGGTAATTGGCTCGAATACCAATGCACCCCATCTTGGAATACCAATGCCAGGGAATATCAATACCAATAACATAGGTTTAAAAAAAAAAACTGGCATTGGTATTCCCTGGCAACAGAAATATCTCTCCGATACCATCGTTTCATCAAACATGCTCTCACACTTGCCAGACCAAAGAAAAAAGAGGGTATGGGTCAAACTAACAATGATAGGATAGCATCCCATATTGGGCACGGTCGGACTTGAGCCATACAAATTAATTTCCTGCAATAAAGGGTGCAATTATTGTGGTATATTGTGGTTATATACATCGTACTGCAACATAATTTACACCTTCAGCCCTATCAAGCATTAACAAAACTGACTTCTAAGGCGAATCGTTGATAAGCATCTTCTTGAGAGGTTCCAGGAGTTTCATTCACATCTATGTCATACAGTATCAGGTCTGTGGAATATGATAATTTCTGTGTATTGAGCATTATTGAGCTATAGGTATTTCATATTCGGGAAATTGCAGAATTTCCAAATATGTTAAGTCACATTGCTCGCCAATGCGTTCAAGCTGTCACACTTCCCCGCCCCCCAAGCATGGCCTATGTCAGCTACGCCACTGGATGCTTAGCTGTGCGTGATATTCTTCAGAAAGGGGTTTGTCTGAAAATAAGATACCCAAACATCCAGAAATGTATCATCTCCCCCCACTTACTACAAGTTTCCCCTTTTTTGGACGAACTCAAATGACAGTTTCCTCAAAATCCAAACTTCAAGAAACCTCCCAAATATTACATATCCCCAACATATCCCCATTCTATGCCCATGTAGTTGCTGCATGCTCAAAGTATTACCATTTGGTTTTATGAATTTATATCCCTAAAATGGGATACCCTCTGGTAAACTAGCTATGGAAAATCACCATTTTTAATAGGTAAACCATCTATAAATAGGCCATTTTCCATGGCTATGTTAAATAACCAGAGTGTACACTGATACACCAAATTTGACATGGAACCCCACCATGGCCCATGGCCATGAAGGCCTGGATGGGAAGGTCCAGCATCGTGACAGGCACCTCAATGGCGGATCATCATATCCAGACACTTGCTACTGCTATAGTTTAGCTCTTCAGAAATGTGAGGTCATGGATATAGAATGGGGAAACTGGATGGACATGGATGGACATCATATATATATATATATATATATATTGATATATATATATATATATTGTATCATATAATTATATATAACAATATATTATTATAATTATACAGTATATATTCAGACACACCTATATTGCTGTTGTGGCTGCTGTTGTCTGCCAAGCTGCTGGGTCTATCTGGAGGCCGATGACACCTGGCGCAGGCTGCACGGGGATGCCCTGCACCACTGGCATGGCCTGGCAACCGCCCGAAGAACGGGGAATTGGGGCTGGATGGCTGGATCGCCCTAGGAAAATATGGAAAAAGTAGGGAAAAATATGGAAAAACATGGAAAAATATGGAAAAACATGGAAAAATATGGAAAAAGTAGGGAAAAAGTAGGGAAAAAGTATGGAAAAGTATCTCAAATTCCTCATTGTTGGTCAAGTCCCTAGGAAAAGTAGGGAAAAATAATGAATTGACTTTAAGAGCCAAAAACATTGGGATTTTTTGATGGACTTGTTGAGGCCAAAATATGGCGATGGTGCAAGATTTCGCCACTAAAGAATGGAACGCTCACCAAGACAACAACAAGGGATATCCAGCAAACATGTAGAAGAGAAAGAACACACATGGCATTTTACTAGACTAACCCCAAACTCCGAAATTCACCAATAAGATTTTAGGTGTTACTTGGAAAATGGTGGTGGTGAAATATGCTGTAACTCATTTGAATCAATTGAAAAACCTATTTTTCATCAGCAAAACTGCGATTCTGCCAAAACATTGGGATTCCTCCAACCACGTGGATGCAACCAATCATGTGGCAGCCACCAAATATTAGCACGGCATGCAAAAAAATGACCAAAACACAACGGGGGAGCTTCATCAAAATCATTGCGTTCATTGTGTTTCATGGGAGCCACTGACCAAAAAACAAAACTGGAACGATCAGTCCCACTCTGAGGTTAAGCGACTCACCCAAAAAAAGAGCGTATAATTAATTTGGTATCTGATGGGGACATTTGCCAGCCAAAATCAGGATGTATTAATATTTATATATATATATTTATATATATATATATTATGCTTACATTTACTACCGACTTGTGAGCACCGCGAAACAGGTTTATGATTTGCCTCTCCAAAATGGTGGCGAATTGGGATGGAAGTGCAACATCTTCAACCATACCGTACTGTCCCGTAGTCTTGTACTTGCCGCAAAACAAGAGATAGATTTGTGAAATGGTGTAGAGACAATCACAGCAAATCCAAGTAGTCTCAATTCTATCAGGTACAACTGTACAACTGTCAACTGTACAAACCCACTTACACTTCCCAAGTTCATCTAATTTGCAATCCCTTCGCTTTTGTCTTGGACCCTAAAAACCTCGCGCCTGACCATTCTCTGCACGGTCCAATGCTGCCATTGCTGTGTGTCTTTTGACCGTGTCGGTGGCAGGGCGGGATCAGTTCTTCTGAAATGCCGACGTAAGGAATGATACCCTCTGGTAGTCTAACCTAGCGATGGAAACTGGCCCATTTATATATAGATTATATAGATGATTGATGATGATTGATAGACCGTTATTTTCCATACCAGTATAGATATGCTAGATTATCAGATAGTACCCAGAGGGCACAGACATCAAAACACTGGGGTCTCATTAGGCCTAGAATGGATTTAGTAAGAAAAAAAGGTCGAAATCTGTCCGGTCATGAGCATGAAAATCGAACCCATCAGTACCGTGTGGATATATATGTATATATATCCCCACTTGCTCTGGCTATCCCCAATATTTTGACGATTCAAAAGGTGCATGTAAGTCGCGACACCAGGATGAGTCAACATGATTTTCTGCGGATTTTCCAAAGCAAGGATGAGCATCCAGTAACTAGTATCATCACTAGTATCATATTTGAAAATGCAAGGATAATCCATTATGATACTAGGATCAGCAGTAACATCAATAGTATCATATATGTTTTCTTTTCAATATGAGCAATGGTCAAGACATGGTATGCTTAATTTAAGTCCACCTAATGATGAACGAGATCCCGTGTAGCTCCGAACCGCTCCCTCAAAAAAAACACCAGAAGTTGGTATGAAATGTTAGAGTATCCCATGAAATATATCAACATCATAATGGCTCATGAGATCCATGAAAATATCCCCATATGGTGGTCAAATCTCTGAATTGAATCCCACGAAAAATACCACTATCCATTCTCTATTCTTTATCATTATGTATTGGTTAAATCAAGATCCCTACTATTCTTGGTTTGTATATCATATATCATATCATATTGAAGACTATATCATAGCATAATATATAGCGATATATAGCATAATATATAGCGATATATAGCATAATATATAGCTTATCATATAATATATAGCATGTATCCCCAATTCTGTTGACTACCCTCTGGTAAACCAACATAACTATGGAAAATCACCATTTTTAATGGGTAAATCCACTATAAATAGCCATTTTCAATAGCTATGTAACAAATTACCAGAGGGTATTGATGGTGAATTTCGTTCAACCGCGCCTCAGCCTTAAGCTCGGACACCTCCGTTGGGCGTTTACGCGCAAGGACGAACAATGTTCCAACGTTGCATGAAGAAACGAAAAACCACGGGGGAATGGGACATTATAGGGAAAATAGTAGGAAAATAGTAGGGAAATCATAGGGAAATTTGAATGTTGATGATTCCCAAACCACAGAAACGGGAAATTCTAACTGGGAAAAGGGGATTCAACTTGAATGAGCTTGAAAAAATAGGGATCATCTGGATAATCTAATCATAAACCTACCATTTGGGATATTTATACCACCCCTCTATGGTGATGACTTGGGGATGGTTTAATATTGGGTTTACCACATTTTTATAAAAATCTAATCACGTATAATTCACAAATGATGGTGACGTATGGGCGAGCCAATTGAGAATGGCGATGTAAAAAAAGTTCTGGAGCCAAAAAAAATAGAGAGGTTAAATCCAGCAAGGATGGGGACTCTACAAATAATTGCTGACGTTATTGTTTGGGTTTGTATTGTACAAACTGGTTTATTGCTGTTGATGGGGATTGATGTGATAAACCCAATTATCAACCATCCAAAATTATGGCCATGAATCACATAAATATAGGTGGTAAACATACATAAACCATCCTCAAATTATCCAAATGGATCCAAAATGCTAGGTTTCAGCCAGGGTTTACCACATTGTTATCGGTTGATCTGGAAATTCCATGGAATCCCTATCAACCAACAAACGCTTCAAGGAATGTCGAGCCCGCTTCTGGAGATCACCTAGGATAAATGGAGATAGTTGGTAGTTGGTTGGCAACTTTTTGTGAACTAGCCCATTTAATGAATTTAATGGGGAAAAAAACCAAACATTGAGGACTCACATTTGGTGAGCTGCCTGCATTTGCGAACGTAAAAGTTGTCGGTCTTCAGGTCCCAGATCCCAGCTGTGTTTCAATCGAGGAACTGCTACGAGTTTCAATGGCTGGGCAATGTCATCCTATCTGGATGAATGACGCCTCCACATAGACGTACATAGACTACATATGTAGGGATATGGGTCAAAATTGGTGTTCAAAATATTGGAGAACATACCCAAACTCTGTGGGTCAGGGACCCATACCCATACTGGCAGGTCATTCTCAATGTTAGCAGGTCGAAGTCCCAATATGCGTTGGTTGATGCCCCATATTTGCTGGTTGACAATCGACATGTTTCTAGATTCTAGTCCCTGTTGTTTAACTGGGGGGTTGGTCAAAATCCCAGTTTGTCCTTTGTTGAACCAACATTATTGGACTTTGTTTTGGCCAAATCCAGTTTTAGTGGGTTATATGCTGTACCATATATACCATGTATATTATATCTATGTATATATACCATATGTATATAGACATATATATATATTTCTATTATATATATATATTTCTATTATATATATATATACAGTACCATATAGGTATTAAATCCAAAACGGATGGCGTCTTCCGCCTTCTGCAGCTTCCGTTCGATGTCTTCCTCCAGGGTGGTCAAATCACGGGTCACTTGCTGCAGCTTCTTCTCCTGGCTCGGTGGAGGACGTGGAAATTCACCATGAAATGCCATGAAAAGAAATCGGGATGTATATATATATATATATCATACTGAGCAGTAAGAAATTGGATCCAACTGAGATTTAACTTCACTATGAAATTTGGAGATTTAACTACCAATACAAGGAAAGTAAATGAGTAGGTAAAGACGTAAAATCACCCAATTTCCCTCCCTTGTGGCTATCATTCACTTTTAGTGGGTTGAAGCAACCCTGTGGGGGATGACTTTCCAACCAGGATAATTGTCCGGAAGGGTGTCTTCCTTCGTGAGTTCAGGGAGTTACAGTATGTAAGTGGACATTTGCCAACCGGAGTTGGCTTACGGGGTCCGTTCAGGAGTAGTTCCACCAAGAGGCATGATATCCAATGCCGATCAAGAGGATGACTCATGACCGACCACCTTACTATAAATTGATTCTCCATCTATTCATCAATTGAGTATCAACCCTATTCATTGGTTCTCCATATCATTCATACGTATGAGCGGTGGATCATTGGTGGTTCTTTACTAGTTATCCAATCATCAATCATCAATGATTATTTATCATATTTGATTATCCATCTATTATTCACTAATTATCCACCAATCATCAAGGATTAATGGATGATTAATGGATAATCAGTCGTGATCGAATATGATTCATGCAAAAGTAGTGATTATTCATTGATCCCACTACTTAATCGCATTTAACCCGCTAATATCCGCTAATAATCAATAGTTATATAATCATTAGTGAAACCATTCATCATCCATTGTTGACAATAATCATCCATTTATCATTCATGGTCCAAAATTCAATGATGATTAGTCCATCATCCATTATGATTATTGAATTAACAGTTCACAAGAACTTAATTAGAACTCAATCCAATCATCGTCCATTAATCATCCATCATCCATTCATCCATTATACCCACTAATAACCATGCACTGATCATAAGAGTCATCCCATTATAAGTTGTTCAATTCATCCAATCATCCAGTAATCATCACAATTTTCTATTACATAGATATATATATATATAACATTATATAACCACCATTAACCACTATTACTGTAACTCTTAACATCTATTAACATCTATTAACCACTATTCATCACTATTCATCACTATAAATCACTATAACTCACTATAACATACTATAAATCACTATAAATCACTATAAATCACTATAAATCACTCTTTTCATCCACTATTTTCATCCATGGATTCCCCGGTCCATCGCGGTGCACCGTCTTCGCGCCTTGTTTCGCATCTCCTGGAGCTGTTCGGCCCCGCCAAACTCCACGCGGCCGGCCGCCAGGCTCTTGACACCTCAGCAGGGAGATGGGTCCAATCCTGGAAAAACGATGAAAATTCCATGGTAAACATATGGAAATTCCCATCATTTCCCATGAGATTCCCATCATTTTCCATGGTAAAAGTGGTAAAACTATGGAATTTCATGGGAACATGATGGGAAATTCCATGGAAAACATGATGGGAAATTCATGGGAATTTATGGAAAAATATTGGACAATCCAAGAACTATACAAGTAATGTCTATGACTATAGACAATTACAAGTACAAGTCCATGTTTCAGCAGTTAAGGAAAATGATATTGAAAATACATCAGTCGAAAATTATTTTCCAGTGGGAAACCAGACGATGGTCCACATCTATGTAAGTTTGCTTGGGAGCGAAGAATGAATACAAAGTTGGATAATTTGGGGATGTGAGAAACCAGTAACAGCAAAATGTGCGACGTAGGAAGCAAATACAGTATACACTACCAAGATCTACCAAGCAACTTTGGAAACCTTGGGGATGTACTCTACACAACAATTTCCCTGAGAATCCCCAACAGAACTGGGAGATCTGTCTATGCTATATAAGATATGTGCATGTGTAGATGCTATACATAGATGCACATACATACATCTAGCAAGGGATATATCTGACAAACTACTTAAATACTATCTTCAGGAAAAAACGGATATTGAGATGGCGGAAAGACTTGGTGGCTTTATTTCATTTGATAACATAAGATAATATATTCCGCATTTCTGCTGAAGTCATCTGAAGTCAAATGCTCATGTGTCCATCATTGAAGCATCATGATATCCCATCATGTGCTCATCATACCACCAGTTTTGTCGGCTAAATATCCATGTTTGATGGCTAAATAACCATTCTAACCATGTGTTGAACCAGCTCACCATTATGAGCATCACCATGATCACTAGCAATATCACTATTATAAAACTATATAAAACTTATAACTAACCAGTATAAATCATATATGATCTGCTAATATTACAACCATTATATAAGTCCCATTCAATCACCCATTCAAT